TGAGAATTGCAAAACACAGTACGATCATCGGTTGTCAAAGAACTACTGGTTTTTTGCAGTCCCCGTTCGTAGTCGGTTGTCTCAAGTGGACCATAACGGTGGTCTGCCAGTTCTGCTTGTTACCATTACTTTAACCGTTGTTTTATCCCCATTCTTATAAAATGAAAAGCGCCATCAATGCACGAGTACTCGCTTGCCTTTGATGACAATTGCCTAGCCGCATTCTTGCCTCAGCAGCGGAACTCTTGCCGTATTCTAATGGGACCTTTCCAATTGTTTTAAGTGGTTTTTTGGGTGTGAAATAAAGCTACCTGTCAAAAAGCCAGAATGGATAGGTTAGAGGCTTATTTTGTGTGGCAGTCGCTAACAGTCGACTCACCAGATGAGACAACTAATTGAAGAAGTGTGGTTGATGGCAAATAAGTGGAATCACAAGGGGTGTTTGGTTTTGCAGGCATCAAGGGACTGCCTGCCGTGGTGGCACCACAAGCGGTGGTACATGTTTAGTTTGGAAGGCCCGATTCTGGATGTCAGATCGACGCAGAAGACCTCGTGATGCAAATTAAGTCACCTTACTGCTTTTAAACAGCACAGAAGAATGAAACGTTGTGCATTGCGTTGGAGCTGAGTGTTTTACCAGAGAAAGTCAGGATTCGTAATTTTGCATCAGCAAAAACCGGTGGAAGCACACCGATTCCGGCATGGATGAGGTAGTGAAGCAGGATGTCCAACGATGGCTCAACTGTACTTCGTGCCTTCCGGACTAGAAGCCGGTTAGGCACTGAGACACAAGTGCAGAGGTTTAACGGCAGGCGACTACGTGGAACATCTACGCGCAATTATCAACCAGTAAAACACATTCTTTTGCCTTGTGCGATTACAAAAGTCCCAATTTACTATGAATGCGCCCCACAAAGTGGCAATGGGTGACAATACCTAGTTACAGACGTATAGTTTTTGAAATTAAAGGCCAGAGCAAGGTAAACAGAAACAATTTCGGGCATCTGTTTGTTTCGTTTGCCATCGTGTCTACTTTTGAAGTTTACTCCTGTTTGATAATCGGACACCCAAATGGATAGCGTGTGTAAACATAACACCGAAGTATCAAAGAAACTTGTATAAAAGGCGCCTAAATAATTATTTACTCGAGCTCACGCTAATGAACACATGAAAGAGCGCAGAAAACATAATTTGGATGATTCAAGGCCGTACATCATCCCATTAGAATGACCCCTTAGGCAACCACACTTGTCTGCTAAAAGTGTAGCTAATTAGTAAACACACAGCACGTGAACTGGGCGTGAGAGTGAAATGTTACATTCAGACATGCGTTATGAATATTCACTTACGTAGGAAGAAGACCTAAGTTGAAGGTAGATGGTGCACACTGTCTAAAGTTAGCTTTAAGAGAGGTAAATGCGAGTAATGTGATGAAAAATCTAGCAGACTGATGGTTCACGCTTCGCTGAGGAAAGCACTTTGAATGGTAAAAATGAGCCATGTGTCATGCAGGAGACCTTCACTAACCTCAAATTATAAGCAGAATACCAACAAGGTATGATGTGCTTACTCTTGCAGTATTTTTTAGCAAGAGAAAAAAGCCTCTACCCTCCTTCAAATTATGAGGAGAAGAAGGAGGAGAGGAAGAAGAGAAAGGGAGGGGGGAGGAAAAGGCAAAAAAAGCAAGCTGTTTAAGACCGCCAGCAGCTCTACACAATGAGCAAATGGAGGGTATGTGAGGGTAAAGTGACCATGACAACTCAACGCCACGCAACGCAAGAATCATCTCGTACTGCGTTACAATGCAATGCGATGCGACCAATTATGAAAGCATAATGACCTACGAAAGTGAGAGACCAAAGTATTCAAGCTGCAAAGTAATTCCGGGATCTGTTTTTTTTTCTTTTGAAAAAGGTCAAAAGATCATACAATCCATGTGGTCCATTCTCGTGGTGCGAATAAACCTCCGATTTGACAACCTCCTCAGATGGGTTTACATTTTGAAAATTTATACCGTCAGGAAAAAAAACGTTTAACTGTTCCTCAAATTTAACCACAGAGAAAACAGCAAGAGATACTGAGGCAAAAAGTACGTTACGGTGCTCCGCACCTCAGATTTATCACGTCTCTTCTCAATTTTAATGCGAAAGTCTCCCAAAAATGCGCAAAATATTTAATAACCGAAAAGGGTGATGCAGCGAGGGTTCCATGTAAATTGCACCCAGATGAGCAATTCCAAACACCACCAGACTAGGCCTAAAGAGGGGTATTTATAAGCAGAGATATCAACAAAGTGGATGTACCTCTTTAAGAAAAGGCCACCAAAGTGGATAGTCATTAAAACCTCATTTATCACTTTCCGCATAAACTACTGAATACATCAGCAGTATATATAAGCATGACGTGTTTTCGGAAAACTGTTGACGTTAAAATCGTAAATTAGATCAAGGATGTCCATGAAAATTGAAATCCATGAGCGACTTCCTTTACAGTGATGTATGCTAAGATGATTGGCAGATAAAAAAGTGAGCAAAACTGAACGTTTGCGCTGATGTAGAGTGGACGAAGCACCAATGCGAACGGGAGACACTAATTCGGTGCCACAGCGCGAACCTCAAGTCTTGCTACTCTACGACAATATAACCACCAAAAGGAGAAAGCAGACTTATCTCAGTGGTCCGAGAGACACTTTGTGAAAGCTGGGAGAATTTCAGAACGGTTTTTAACTCTCCATTGCTGAGCCATCGAAAGTGCCTTTGTGCAGCTTTTCGCCCGTAAAATGACGATGAGGCAATGAAAGGTAGGCCATTCAGAGGAAACTTTATTCCAGGACATACGGTGTAACTTTGGCGATAAAGACTTTTCAGTGGATGCTGGTATGGGTTTAGAGACAGATTAGGCTCCACTCAAGACGGTGGCAACTCCTGGAACACAAGAGCCCCAATTTTACGCTACGTGGACCAGCCGTCTACCTCATCACTAACACTCCCTTTAACTAATGGAGCACCAACTTTTATCCCATTTCGGTTTTAACGTGATGTAATCTGCTGATCAAGCTGGCAAATAGCAGTGAATGGGCAAGTGGAAAAATTACTACTTCCTTCAGAAATTATTCACTGATTTTCTCTCAAAGTTACCTTAGAGCCGAATTTACGACTCGCATTCTAGTAGGTAGACTGGTTTCCTTTGTCAAAGGAAATGCCGATTTTGTAAAGGTCAATTTAAGTCTCCTTAATCCATAAAAATGCCAAAAGGAGAGCAGAAATGTCACCTGTCATTGCGTCGTTGGATTTAATTTAAACCATCAGGATTTGTCCACAAGTTTAAATATTGCAACAACGGACAGGATAAGAAAATACACACGTGAGATTCAATTTTACCAGGCCTGTGCGTCAGTCAATGACACATACGCATCACAGAGCCTACTGTTAGATCGTCTGCACATGGAATGTTTGGTTTCTGACTGAAGTGTCCTTCTATGGCTTATAAAAGAGTTTTCACACACGAAGCACTTCAGACCATCTAAAGTACACTCGAATTAGGCTTCGAATTAGGTAAGAGATATTATAGGTATTTCATCAGTTTTGGGCGAAATTCAACCTTACACAGTCAACTGAAAGTGTGGCGAAAACATGTCAGGGAAAAGCTATGTTCGGTCGTCACGATAGCTAAAGAGCAATCGCCTTTAAGTACACAGGGGCGGGTTAGTTTTCCATATTTCCTAATATGAATGCAAACATTAATTAAAAGCTTGGAAAAAGCGGTTCTAGATCTAGTTTTCAAGTTCAACTTCCGCCTTTGATTCAAGCAAATGTCATCAAATTCACCTATTTATAACAGTTGCTCGGTCATGGGTTGCTTTCTCCACTAACTGCGATAAGGTAACCCAGGAAACAAGGGCATGTCAGGTAACTGTCAAAAACGAACGATTTCACTCTCAACCCTGCGATGTACTCAAGTGAAGAGCTCATCGAATCCACGTGAAGGCACCCATCTGCATAACCACCACCTTCACTTTTGCAATCTTTTCTCAATAGAAAAAAATCAAGAAGCTAAGTACATACTATGAGATGGATGGATCCGCTTCAATCCACTCACGAAAAGCAGCAGTAGTTTTGCATTATCTATTTCCATCCTCCGTTTTGTAAAGAAAGAATCCAGCACACCAAATGAACACAAATGATTTTTAATTCCAGCTTTACCTATTCACGGATGCAGTTCTGAGCCGAGACTGGAGAGCTAAATTTGTAGCAGAGATGAGATGTGTGGGAAGAAGTCGAGCTGAAGGAATGAATTCAACGACGTGGAGAAGGAAGAAGAAAGGAAGAGATCCATCAAAGCGTATTAACACAACCAAAAGACTTTCCACCATTAAGACGATTAAAAGGTGGCTACCTCATCGCCTAATAGAGGTAAGGAAAAGTAGAATGTCAAATTTTACACGGCTACCTTAATTTAACGACTCCCAGTCTTCAAATCTACTAGCTCACCTAATGAATGATTTTCTAACGAATTCAAGGCTTTCTTTCGAAAGCACCATTCCGAAAGTACTTCAAAATGTCGGGTATACAATGTGACGAGCGGATGAAGCGCTCGAATCGGAACTAAAACGTCCATTGGCAGGTTTCAAATAGGGTGAATTACAAAGCAATTAAATGAAGGCTATGTGTTCATCTAAATGGCTAGCTTCAGCTTTAAGGGTAATAGTTGAATAAGCTTCACCCGTACGACGGGCGAGGGCGATTTCATTTTCCCATAATCCCATTGGTGCAAAAGCAACTAAACATAAAGCGATTTAAGGTGGATTGATCCATATTCACGGTATCACATTGATTGGTTACGAAACCCTACGCCCTATCCTATTAATCCCAACGCCAAAGCGTTGGACGTTTCCGTGACACCTTTTGATTGCATTATAATTATCCAGGCATCTTTTTCAGCCGTAACTTGGGAGTCACGCCGGTGGTAGGGTGGTGGAATATAGCTAAAACAATAAGCTCGTACGAGTGGAGCCATCATAACAGTCAGTGGATTGATCGCTAGGTGAAAAAAAAATGATGGAAAGATGAGAGGATCGGAGGGATGGACTAGATCGCATAGGCGAATGGACACGTAAGGAACAAAAAAAAATAATTGGCAAATTCATATTTGAATAAATAGGTATGGTAAAGTGAACTGCCTCAGCTGGGTGTTCTGATGACTCGAGGTTTACGTGCCATTAAGCTTTCAATCGAGGTAGTCGTAACTCATTAAATAGTGATAAAAAAATGCTCACCATGCAAAAGGAATTTTCTGTTTCCCTACACCAACATATACACATCCGGGCACCCCCGGCTCCACACTTGAGCCACCACTTCTATCCTCATCCATCACGGAGCCTCTTCGAAGCAGCCCAAAGTCGCCAATTTTCACAGTCACGCCAGACGGAGCACTGAAGAGAAGGACATTCCGAGCAGCCAAATCGCGGTGGATGAGGTGACAGGCGGCTAGATGCGCCATCCCACGTGCCAACTGAATCCCCATGTCCCAGAGGACGTCCACGCTGAATGCTGTGGCTGGACGACCTTCCACAACACAACTACCGCTACACAGGTTGAGTCGACGAGAGTGAGCTCGCAAAGCCGTGAGTAGACTTCCCAGTGGAGCCAACTCTGTGACCTAATGAAAGGAATATAAGAAAAAAATAGGACCATACGATAACGAGTGGGTTGAGAGGAATAATTCCGTAGATCCGAACGAGATTGGGATGCGAGACTGACTGCATGAGCATCACTTCCGACAAAACAGTAGAGAAAAAATCTGCGGCATCGTCTGTTTTACTGCGACGGAGAATCTTCAGTGCAACTGGAAGCTAGGACCAGATAAAGAAAAAAATGGGCGTGTAAAGTCAATAACTCTCAACTTGGTAACTCATTGACGCATTTGGTAGAAAAGCTACCGTTTCCCCAGACGGTGTTTTCCAGTCGCCTCTTCGAACTACACCAAAGGAGCCTGACCCTAAATGGCCGTTGTTTTCCTTGTGCAAATTCACATCCTCCAGCCGGATGAGCTGGCATGGAGGCAAGGGATCCATGACAGAAGAGAAAGGAGAGGGCGAGGTGGCAACAGCATGTGTGACGTCGGAGTAGCAACGACGAAGCGAGGTGGATTCGTCCAGAGTTGACAAAATCGGAGCATCGCGAGGTGGCCCATAGCGTAACTATAGGACAAATATACAAGGCAACTAGTACGAGTTAGATCAGTCAGCAACATTGTCAAAGAAGAACGAGTGTTTGCCTTACAAGGTGTAGGAGAGGAACGCCAAAAGAAAGTCGGTGGTGATGCTTCTTGCGGGGCTTTCTAAGTAACCCCGCATTTTCACGGTGAATTTTGATAACTTCTTTGATACGTCCTATGGCAGGAGTGCTAAGACCAATTCGGTGGAGATCGGCCTTGCGAACGAAGTCAAAGTGCTGAAGTCTGGGGTAAATAAAAGAAAGGCATTGTGGCAAACTACAATTCCCATGCCAGAAGGAGTCATTATTTGAATCGAACATCAACATACAAAAAATATTCATCTTTGTAACTAAATACACCTAGTTGAGATAGTAAATATGTTAAAAAGAGCCTTGGTCTCATCAAAAGTTACAAGGAACATCACAGAATGAGGAATCCGATATATCCTTTGTACAAATTATATTACTGTGTGACTTGGAGAACATTTTTGAAGGCGTCATAAAAGTCCGGCAATTGAACTTCATCTAAAAATGTTCGAAGCCAATCAGACGACGACATAGTCAAAGGATCCCATCAAAACTCCTTTGAAACTGTGGGATGCATGGTGGTGAATTGAAACACGGACGATCTGTAGAAATCCGTCTTGCAAACATCTTATGGTAAACATAAAAAGTGCGTTTTATTTTAATCTGTTAAAAACTAAAGTTCAAAAATTGCCAGCTTTTAAAGTGAATTTGTTTTTTAGGTGATTTTAGACAATGCGCTTTATTTGCCGACTATCACGGGTTTAGAGATCACTTTTGCGTGCTACTTTATGTTCTGCTTTGTTGCATTTTTTTTTGTTTTTAATAGATTACGAAAACATCGGTGAAGAAGTGATTATTGAATGTCAACTTATTGGCTTGTGCGTTTCTAATGCAGTGCTGAGCGGCTTTTAAATTTTTATTCTTTTTTGAGAACCCACAATCGATTCCACAGAACTGCATTTTGATGAGAAGCAATGCTTAACTACTGTTTTGTTAAAGTGTTATCAGGCCTAGTTCACGTTAAATAAGTAGGTAGTACCTCCAGCTTTCCCTTTCCTTACTCTAATGACATAGCCGACCAGATATGTATCATAGATGACTTTATACTGCTCATGAAGAAGACAGAGTTTTCATAAAAGAATGTTTTTTTGACTTACGGTGACATTTGATCCCACTATTAGCTCTAAAGCAGGTTTAAATTGTCAAAATGGACTTAAGGAGTTGAGGCACCGCGTTAATTTGGAGGTCTTAACGTCATCCTTCACAGTAGGAAACACTTTTATGTACTTGATTTATTTGAAGATACCAGAAAAGACAGCTGAATTTGTGGACGCCACATCTTTTACTAAGCTCCTTAGACTATTCCAACTTTTCGAGGGAATTTTATTTCTATTAGAGCTTGTCGTAATTACTAATTAAAACACTATCTGGGCGCTACGTTATGAATCGAGAAACATTGTAGGGTAGTACGAAAGACATTAGAAATTACCGACTATAGAAGAAACCACAGTGAGAGACGACCTTGACTATGGAGTACCGCAAAGCGCATTCTAAGCGCAGTTAGGTTTCATTAGATGCGACTCATAAGCGCCATCGAAGTCTGAGACGAATGAACTATCCCTATACTCCTTCACCCCAGCTTTTGCCAATTCAAAAGAAGACTAATTATGAACGCACAGGGGAGAAGCAAGTAAATGGTAGCTTTGCGGGTCTCACCCATCGCACCGAGAGCATGACTTCACCTCCATGAAGACAAGTTACAATTAAACAGGCAGCCATTCAGATAAGTCCTGTAGCTGGTACATCTATGCCACCAATGACCAGAACAAGGCGAGATGGCTGAAGAGGCAGTCGTGTGTTATCATTCGTCAAGCATCCTCGCCACATTGACAGAGGTAGCACCAGCGCACATCCCCATTTCTGTCGAATGGAGCTAAAGAGGAGTTGCGCAGCAAAGCAGCAGTCTGATTACCAGTTGACCAGTGGCTAATCACACGCGTACCTCTACACAAGGTCTGGCTACCGAGCGTGCACGTCTTCATCTTCACACATGGCAAAGGGCACATTAGTCTCGAATGAATGGCCTCTCTACTGTGGTTTTTTGCCTATCTTCTGCATCTGGTGCGACGAAGCATGACCTTGTCACCTAGTCACTGAGTAATCAATGACACAACAAACGGAACCACAGGTTTTGCCACATTCTTTGCTCAACCTCTCCACTTCCACAGAGGTAGCACCAACGCAAATTCATGTCTCGTGCGAATAGAAATGCAGGACAATCGCAAAGTGAAGCAGCAACCTTATCACAAGCTGACCAATGGACAGTCACACGCACACCCGTATACAAAGCCTGTTTTCCTTACACGCTAGTCTTCATCTTCGCACACGGCGAAGGGCAAGCTCATTTCAAACAGACGACCTCTCTGTTGCAGCTTACCATCTGCCTTGTGCATCTTTAAGAACGCCGCAGTTGTTCGTGTGCTTCACACTGTTAAGTTGGTAATGCCATTAACAATGTAGCCAAATTGTGTGCAATCTTACCTTTTTATCACACTTGTTCCTGCAATTACTCACGAGAATGCGTTGCCAAGTTTGGTAACTCCGTTCCAGTGAAGGTAAAATTCAATCCATGCGAGACACAGTACGGTAGAATACTCGCAAGCGGCAGTGGTTGAGATATCTCTGTCTTCAGTGAGCATGGTATAGCAAGATTGCACACACTGTGAATGTTTTTAGCCCCACCAACCTCGTAGATAATAGATCACAAAGAAATGTTGTATTATACCAGATGAATATGTCCCAGGACAAGATGTTGGAAGCTTATCCACCACCTAGAGCGTGTAACGATGCAAGGGAAAGAGACGTGGTCGATTGGCAAGCAGTAGTTGACTAATCGTGAAATGCTGATAAGGACCACGTAGATTGCTGCGCTTGTCTGCGATCGCTGTCGACCATCGTTCAGACGTCTGGAATGGTGATCAAGGAATGCACGAATGCGAGTTCGTGTCACTTCGTGGTCCATGAGCACGTACCCATGCAGCAGATGTGGGAACGTGATAGTCACCGTAGCTTTGTATAACTCTCCTCATACGATTTGTTTCCATAAGTAATGTGGAAGCAGCGAAGAAGTATAAAGTAGTCGCCTTTGATGCTCACCTACCATCGTCTGCTGGTGGAGCGCTTTTGCGTAGAATCACCTTACTTCCATTGATGTAACAATGGATAGGGTTTTCCATCGCTAGTGTTAAATATGCATGCAAGCTGCACTTGACAGGGGAATTTCAAGTCGAATGTCCTATCGTTGAATGTCTGGGGCCCTCTGTGTCAGTCTTACCAGCGGTTTGATAGTTCTCAAGCGAATCAACTCACTCATTGACGACTCTAGTGAGGGTTCATACGTTCTAGTGGAGTAAAATTTGTGTTCTTGACTTACAATATTAACTATTATGTCAAGCTGAAGGATTGATCGTAGTCGTGAGATTTGTACATACGTCACTGTCCTTTTGCCAATTCTGTCTCAAGGTAGCACCAAAGCTGATCCTCCACTCCTCCCACTGTAGATGGAGAGCAATCTCACTGAGAGACAGTGGTCTGTTCACCAGCTTACCAGTTGTCAATCACATGCATACGCATATGTAAGGTTCGTTTGCCAAGCTCGCACACACGTCTTGACCTCCACACGAGACACGAGTGGACACCTCTCTAGCATAGGTTGTTGTCTGTCTTATGCATCTGTTACGACGCTACAGGTCATTGAAATCTACCCGCTGCGTGATCAGTGCCACATGAAAAGGAGCCAACTTCCAGGTAATCTTACCATATCATGGAAATGCTTCTGCAACCCCATGGGAGAGTATGCTGGCTTAAGGGGCAATCCTGCTGCAGCAGCAGTAAGATTTGTACGGTAAGGATAGAAGCATGGTAGTTCATTTGCATGTACCAATGTTTAAGATAACTTTGCCACCATAAACCACAGAACGGCAGGCTTGCTTAGATGATGACCTCTTCCGGCTACATTAGTTACGTTTATTGTCAAGCAGATGGTGTGGCGATAAAGAAGGCGATGTGGGTGGGTGTTAAAAAGACCCTGTGTATAAACACGTCTGAGTTTGACTGTTTGTGACATGTTAATCAGTATCATTAAGACTGTTGCTTCTTCCTACGACCACCATCCACCATTATTCAGACCTCTGGAATGCCAACCACTGCAAAACGAAAACGCTACTTCCTGCTTCGAGGTCACGCCTTCTTGTGATGGGTTCCGTCACAATGCAGTGGAGTTTCTATATGCTCAAAATTGTTGAGAAATAGCAGATAACAGCTGTGTGGTCTTCATTGAAACACTGAATGCTAACTGCTGATGGTATGCATTTGAACAGGATCTGCTAGCTTAGATCAAGATTTCCCAACTTGATATGTGTTGCACGATATGATGGACGGCACAGTCTGTTAATACCTACCTCTACTTATCAAAATGCAGCACAACAAATTGTTTACGCTTATCTATGATTCCGAAACCGCTTTGGATGTAGTTTCTATACCAAGGTTATTTGGTACTCTATTACACTGGGAGCAACTGCCTAGGAACAAGTAGAGGAAAAATTGAAGAACACTGAGAAAGAGGCGAGCAGTTTTACAGCTAAATTTTATTTAAATGAAAAGCGCATATATGCAATCAGTACGCATACACCTTCTTACAGTGTGTTCGTTTCTGTCCTGGATAAATTTATACCCACGGTTTCGTTAGTGCCTCTCCACTAGAACTGATACTAGTCGAGACTGAGATATAAGCAAATTCCTTCAGCCCGCATCTCGTCTCCACTTTCACCAAGACTTCACAAGTCGATGGGAAAGTAGAAGCCTCTTTCCCTTCATCCTCCTTGGCCTCATCCTCCTTCCACGTCTCCTTCTTTCTTCCAAGTTTTGGTTGTGGTGCTGCCCTCAGTAATAGCACTGCATTTGGCTGGAACCGAATCCAAATGGGAAGTACTGACAAGGAATTAATTAGTAAAATGCCCTTCATTACCAATCGGAAGGGACGGGGATAGGGGTTGGTGTCATTTCTGAGGATGTGGAGAGAAAGCTCGTCGTGACACCTATATCGGCACGTTATGGCCAATATTGACGATGATGTTCCAGCCAATGGTATCCACGAAAACACTAGCATGACAGCCAGACCATCATCCTTCGCTCTCTCCACGCTTCATCTTCTTGCAAGCCGAGCAGTACTGCTGGCGCAATGGAGATGTCTAGCAAAACCACCATTCAAATGCATCTTCTCCGTGCATTCAGAATGAACCGTCTCGTATTTAGGTATGGTTTGTCAGGAATTAGGGGAGGCTTGCGCAGCAATTCTTAAACGCTCGCAGTCGAGGTGAAGGCCGAAGTAATTTGCTCGCCTTTCAATCTTTTAGTTATAGTTCTAGTGGAGATTTGATAAGCAAAGAGGAAGGACGCTTTACTCACAGCCTGGGCATAAATTTATCCAAGTCAGAAACGGACAAGCTGCAAGAAGGTAAACTTGCCTTGATTGTAAGCACACAGTGTCTGCAGGTTTGGTTGTGGTGGTTAAACACTAGCAGTTGATATACCACTCCCTTCTGGATGATTGATAATAGTATGCGTTTATTAGCCAAGAGCACTCCATTTAAACCGCTGAAGACGAACTGTCACCAAGTGGTCAATGAAGGTAAGTTTGTCTGTTAGCCAGTCTTGGGAGCACTATGGGGAAGCACCAGTAGATGAAACGACTCCGTCAATGCTGAGATGACGCAGCGTGATGGATGACGGCATGGATGTGTGCTCACAGACTTGTAGTTCATTACGCAGAATTTGCCTCATTTGCCGGACTTCCCCTCCGCATCTCTATGGGTAATACCAAGGCACGTCCCCAACTCGTGCGAATGGATATGGTGGAGCAATCGCATCCGGAAACAACAGTCTGTTTACCAGCTGATCAATCGCCAACCACAAGAATACTTGCACGCAAAGTCTCTTCGCCGCGCACGCACCACCTCATCTGCACAGAACGCAAAGGGCATGCTTGTTCTCAGTAGACTGCCTGATTCGTGCTTCCGGAAGCAAAAGCCGAAATGCGTGGATTGCCAATGTGTTATTGCACCTATTGCTTCATTTACATGGAAGAATGTGAGTCTGTTAGTTAATTCCATAATGACGGTGTAAGCTTCAAACCGTGAAGAGAAAAGAACAGTTACCTGTTCGCAAGTGCCACTGATTGGGATATCTTTGCAATAAGGTAGCTGCTTTCTTCAGCTCACATTACGAGTTTGATGGGTTACGATGATCTGCAAAGTCGCATGAGAAGCACGAGGTAGAAGACAAGCCATTCGAAGTGTATGTGTTCGTTGCTGGCATCGTGAGACGAGGTAGAAAAAGGAGACGTGGGTAGAATGAAATGAGAACTTTTATACGGAAATGATCGCTGTTGACTACTAGGCAGGCTTTCATTCCGATCACTCAGATTGCTGCTGCTGCTGCTGCTGCTGATGATGATGATGATGATGGTGGTGGTGGTGCCTACAACCACTCTTGACCTCCATTCAGACGTCTAGATCGGTGGTCACGCGGAAACACGAATGAGCTTTCAGGCCTCTTTTTGGTCGGGATCACGCGTCCGCACAGTCACCGCGAGAGTGTGGTAGGCAATGCTGCCTCGCAAACCATTCCCAAGCAGTTTGTTTATCTAAATTGTGTGAAAGTGTCAAAGAAGAACAAAGCAGTCGTCTTGCTGCCTTGTCAACCATCATCTGCTACTGGGTTGCATTTGTGTAGAAGCACTTTGCTTGGAATCACGACATCCTCAGTTGATATCTGTTTGAACGACCCCTTGTGCCACCAACTTTGAGCATCTTTGCAAGTTGTAACGGACACGTTATTGTCTAATGCCTGATCCTTAATGCTTAATCATCCAGTGAGTTGCCACCAGGGACCATGTGGTTAGCGGGAAGATTTACTACCACGCAATGCACCTTTTTTGATTTGCACTAGCACATGCTGTCGAGGATTTCCTATGACACCAAGCCATCACCAGATCTTGAGGCCTATCTTTGCAGCTAGTAGTGTGCTCTGTGCCGCAGCAGTCACACCACCTTCAACATGCCTGTGGCCGTCCACTCAACCCACACCTACCTCTCCTCCAAGTCGCAGAATCGCAGCAGGCGAAGGGAGCAGTGGTTATTCAGTGCATGCCTATTCCATCCCCTTAACTCACTTCCCTCCATTTCTCATTGCTTTCCATCAGAACTTGGAGAGAGCCTCCATACATCCTGCTAAGTGGCATTTCTGTCCACGCACCAATTCATCTGCTGATCAGCCTGCCTTACTTTTTATCTCCTTCTCCCATCTATACAATTCCCCATCGGCAAGCCTCACTTCCACCAATAGGGTGAATGGTAGATTCTTGCCAGCAGCTATGAGTGAAATGTTGGAGTCAATTTAGGGCATTATTTTGGCTACCTATAATTTACCAATCTATCTGTGTAACTTTTTTTCTATACATCATCGTCTACTATGAATATCATCAGAGAATACGAGGAATGAATTACCAAATCCTCCTTTATGAGGTTACTAAACAAAGCTTTTCAGGCAGAAAACATGGATTTGTAAAAAGCGCAGATTTGCTGAACCATAGCACTTTGCTTTTGTCGATTTCTTGGAGAAGTAATTGGAGAATGTTCAGTGGAAAGAGGATACATGAGGTCACACAGGATCTTTGTGTTTGGAGCCATAATATTTCAAGTCATTCTTGCCACACTTTCTTGTGGCTGCACCCTTGGTGGATGAGTTACATCTTGCAGCTAATTAATCAGCAATTTTAGGATAATGTGGAGACGACACGATCTTGTCATTTATTGCTGTGGAGCTGATTAGAGGAAGGTGTCACATCCTCTTGTCAAGCTGTTTACTGATGATATCGTTAGCTAGCTGTTTCCCACTGCCCAAAGCAGACCCATAAATTCGGCATTGCAATCAATTCAAAAACATGAAGCTGTTTAAAATGAATCATGCAAACCTACATGTTACTGTCCATTGCTCTTGTTTGCCAGTAAAACCGACCCTGCAGTGACTGGTACTGGGATGCACATTTGGGGAATTTTGTGAATGACGGTTCAAAGACGGTTAAATCATAAATGCCTAGCAACGTTGCATACTTAAAGTAGGGCTGTCCAAGCTTGGACAGTCTGATAGTCTGATCATTCGCCTGTGCAGCGGGCAACTTCTTAACTCCTGCGTCTGTCTGCTGTCACTCCAATCTTCAATGCGCATTGACATTTGCGTCAGAAAGGACACGCAGATTGGGCATAGCCTCACTTCCTACAGCAGGCTGCATCCATCAAAACGTGTTTTGCAAATTGGTTGAGTCAGACGTGTGGATCTGTTGTCGCCCTGCAAGACTGATCAACCAATTTGAGAGATGCGAACTAGAGGCCTTTTGAGAATGACTTAGTTGTATTGCTGCACCATCGATATGCGCTAATTCCTGTGGGCACGGATGGTTGAGAAGGGTGGCGAATGCTTCATAAGGTGATGGCAACCGCAAAGCTTGTAAGCCTGATGCTCTTTTACCTGTCATTAAAGGGTCATTGTCTTGAAACAATTTTGTGGAAAGGGCGTTGGAAATTGCGCTCTCACTGCTTGGCGAAAGTTTAAATAACTTCTTCTATTAGTACCAATTTTGAATCGAATGATTTAAATCTTCCGAGCCCTTATTTCTTTTCAGGATTCCACTCCCTCAGCCAAATATGTTTTACGTCACGTATGCGCGACTCTCAGATGCTCAAAAATTTAACATGCATTTCTTCCGATCTTATCGCATTCTTCAGCCTTAATGATGTCTTGATTTACCAAATGATATCGTGAATGATTGGGCTGAAAACAAGGCATTTAAATCGACGCAAAGCATTCTTGTGATGGGAGCCTTTGTGTTTTCTTAGCAGCAGTTGCGGTGGTTAGTAGGCGATGAAACCAAAATCTGACAAGAAGCCATCCGAGCTGTAGAAGCAGATCGTCGTCTGAGACGTCGGTGTGAGTCTATTCGACCTCTCAGCCGCGTTTCTCTTGTGCCGCTCCCCTCAATTGCCTGCTTCAATTCCAGCGCTGACTGTGTGTTAGTGCTATCATGCATAAGTAGGTAAGATGCAGAAACGCCTTTAATCATAAAACCTAGGCTTTTTGTCACAAAGCATTTGGGATCTTGATATGATTGCTCGATAGAAGGGAATGATGCAGGGGCGGAACTGTAGGCAGAAAGGAGTGTCCTGCCGCTTCCACTATGCACTGAGGACCACTGCACATGTCTTTTGTGGGCATATGCAGTCGAACCATCAGTACCGAATAGTGACAGAAAAAGGTATAGAAAACAAAATGTAGCACTGGAACTCATTCACATGCACTCGAATCTCTTAAAAACTAATCCCAGTACGGACCTCCATGTTGATGAATAGGAATTTCGGTCACGCAGCAATAAGACATCTAAGGGAATGCCGCCAAAGTCTTCTCCACATCGACAACAATTCCAGTCATGGTGACCTCAATTTGCGACCCATGCCACAGTAGACATGCTTTCCTGCAAGCAAACTTCCACAAAAGTGGAACGTCTAATCCTAATTCTGGGCTCCTGATGGACGCGCAACCAACCTGTGAGAAATGAAAGTTGGTACAGGGATGAAAACTAGTGTTTGAACATTAAACACAGTAAGATCTTTCATGACCATGGGCTGCCGTTAATGCTTCACACTTCAGTTTCCATATTTTCCGAAGTTTAAAGGAAAATTTGTGCCTAGTATATTGCTGGAGATAACCGATTCATATGCCACAGCTTGAAGGTTAACATCTTCCTTCCCTTTTGACTAAAGTGGACACATTGCTTGTTTTGTGTTCATAGCTTCAAACACTTCTGTTCCTACCATTTCTACTAGATCGTTCCACATCAGGTAGCGAATTTTGGTCCTTTGCTAATCCAAAATAAATTCATGCTTTAGTGAGCTCTATCACTCCATAGCCATTTTTCATAGCTTAGTGACGGCATAGCAAAAAGAGCTGAGGACAGAAACAAGCTGGTATTTTTTTGCGTTTCTTTCCATATGTCAAATCAGCCAGGCTGATTTCCGTCTCTTATCTTGCCTGAGTTGACCCATTCATATACCATAGCTTAAAGACCAATAGGTGTTTACATTTCCATTTAAGGCAGACGCTTTTGATTGCTGTTTTATTTTACGTTCAAGTGGCCTAGGAACAGCTCAAATCGGTGCGGATACACATCACAAACTGATAGTGATCATACGTCACACATATGCGACGCGGGTGGGACATTGATTAACTACTTAAGAAACAATGTAAAAAGTAGGGTATTGCTGCAAAATCGCTACCTTAGCATATTGGCATATTTAGGCTCTGTTATGTTTGCGCTAAGCTCTAGAATGGTGTGACATCTAGTGCTTGCGCTGCCAAGGTCTCAGAGGAAAATAGATCACTCCAGGTAAATGCTTCATTCCACCTACGTAACATATTTAGTCATATTTTTACTGCTTTTGATTCTCATTTGGCATATTTTGCAGGCAAGATTTGAGCACAATTGTAAAAACTGTCCCTTTACATATGTATGATACCAGTACTGAGCGCTCTAATAGCCAGAGTGTAGGAGAGGCAGGAAAGAACCATCCAATGGGAGCCACCTGTATTCATTTCACCCTCTCTATATCTCAGCCCAGATAGGTAAATGTAACCATATTTGTTTGCTTAAAGTTAGACTGGGTTATTACAATCCAACCCTGTCTGCTCCTAGTTGAAGTTGCCAGGCTACAGCAAAGATGGATTGCTCAAACCCTGTGTACTCCTCATATCCGCTGTGAGTGACTGTGTTACCGCCTCCAAAATCACCTACCACTTCGTTCACCAACCAATCAGTCAGCTCTTTAATCCGAGGAAAATAGGACTGACACGCCTTTGCCAACCGCAAGTGACAAATTGCTGAGGCAGACTACAAGCTTTAGGAAGGGGAGTCTAACCAAAAGGAATGACTTGTCTTCTTGACAGCACAAAATTTTCTCTATCTCTTACTTGAAAAAATTTCAGCGCATCCTTTTTTCCTTTAAGGACAAACGTTTAAAGCTACTTTGAACAAAGCATTTGCATGGAAGTGGTGTTGAATTCTGACGACAGCTGAAAGTGAGATTGTGAGAGGAAAGTGGAGTGGTCAAAATCAAAATATCTTCTTTATCTGTGGAATAATTTATAAATTATAATTCATTTAGACTGTTGTTGGAATCGCCTTTAATTTGAGCTATTCCTCAAACTGACATCATCTTGTGCATTAGCCTCAGTAAGTTATGGTCCACGGACCGCAAATGCGGTCGAAGCAATGAATGGTAATTTGCTTGGAAGACAAAGCCAACCAAAACCACCGTCCACTACTAGATTGGACGACATATAGCCAATGTGTGCGTCATACAAGGCAAAAGTTCTCTTAAGCTAAAATGAGCTTCACTTTTATTTGTAAACCAAAATTTACCATTCGCCCATGCAGATGAGACA